TTATATATAATTTATATATAAATCTTGTATAACCTGCATCACATAGCTCTCCAGATAACTGATGAATCATCTATTAAGAGGTAGTAAGATATATACTACATCAGATAATTTAGAAAACATGAAGATTTAGAAACAGTAAACTGATAGCATTAGCAAGATCTGGCTTGAGATATAAGGTTAATATATCTAGAAAGTAAATAGGAAATCTGAAGTATTTATGTAATACTAAGTGAAAGGTTCTGGAGCATTTATGTAATGCTAAGTTGCATGAAAGGATGCAGGCTAATAAAAAGCAGTACAAATACAAAATAAATCCTTATTCTAACATGTAATACTAATATTTCTCATGTGAGATTAGTGGTGGTAGCAGGTATCTAACTTGAAATATATACACAAGAGACTACCTATTAAAAAAGTATACTAGTTTAAAAGAAATACTAATTATAGATACATCAAATTAAGAGACTATTAAGAACTAATTTCTTGAATAAACCAATTTAGAAGTTATTAAGGTTTGATAATAAAATATAAAAAGAATATAGTAGATAATTAAAAATATTTTAAATATCAAATTCAGATATAATTCAATATGTGGTGAGAATGTAGCATACTCTGGTAGATTTAGATTATAGATAAAATTGTTTAAGCTTGTATTCTTAAGATAGATATATAACTATATAAAGCAAATATTTAAAAATATCTAATAAAGATATAGGCAAGACCTTATCTTAATACCAAAAAAAGAATTTAATAAGATAAATTGGTTGCTTAGATAGGGTTGTATCAGAGTTTTAATATTGAATAAGTTTTATTAATACAAAATTATAATATAGAAAATTATATTTTATATATATAAAATTTGGTACTTCCAATTAAAATTATAAAGGCAAGATTACTAAAAACAAAAAATTATTAAAAAAAATTTATAAAATAAAAATACTATATAATAACTATATTATTTTTTTGTAGTTTATTATTTTAAAATTGCTAATTTAAAAATTATTAAAAAAAAATAATTTTAAATCTATTATTTTATAAACAAAAATTTAAAATATAATTAATTTTTTAAAAAATCTTTTGTTTTGCTATATAAAATCAAGGATTTTATAATTTATCATCATAGCAATACATTGCTACCTCCTGATTAACCAATTAGAATGCAAGATCAGATATAATATGAAATCAATATAATTATGAATTTTTTTTAAAAATCAGCTATAAAATGAAATTTTGTCTATAAAACCATCTCTCATACTCTAACAAAAAAAATTTCTCTTAAATTTTTAGATTAAACCTCTTCACTAAAGCCTCTTCCTTAACCCTAAACTAACTCTCACTTTAATTCTAAACTAACGAATTAATTTTATTGTTTTGATTTCATATTACACCAAATTTTATAAGATATGATAAATTGCATATGCAATAAATAATTAAATTTTAAAATTAATTTATATATTGGATACATTTATTTTTTACCCAGGGTGAGCCCTCACTAAGGTAACTTCTGTCATATAATATAAGCAAAAATGTTCCTCTCATAATTTTACTTTAATCTTAATTCTAACCCTAATATATTAATATAACCAGAGTTCCCTTTTGTACTTAAGGGAGGTAAGTAATTACCAGATATCAAATAAATTATTTTTTATATATAGTCAAACCCCTCTATAGTCACACCTTTGGGATACAAAAAACCATGATTGTAAAGAAGTATAGCTAATATAGAGGTATTTTCTATATAGTTATAAATAATTGGTAAAAATAAATTTGTAATTATACCAATTTTGTGACTATAAAGAAGGTGACTATAGAGGAGTTTGACTGTATTTTATTTAATTTTAAACTTTGATTAACTATAATATTCTAGTACTAAAATACTATAGTAGTATAAAAATATTTTTTTGTAATAAATATTTTATTTTTCTAATAAAATGTTTTGTTTGATTTCAAGTTTTCTAAACCAATTTTCTAAAATTGGTATCAGCACCAGTAGTATGATTTAATAAAGCTATTTGATACTTATCAAATTAATTTTAATGGTTTTTTTAAGTTTAATAATTGTATAGATTTATAGGATTTAAACAAAAAAATTTATTGAATTTTGTTAGATAATTCTAAAATATCTAATTAAAATTTTGTAAAGATTTAAAAATCGATTATTAAATAACTTGATATTTGTTTAATCAAATTTGATAATCTTTTTATTTTAAACTTATTGATACGTATATAATATTAAAAAAAAAGATTATCAGATTGATTAAATAAATGTCATCGAAGTTTATAAAAATGTAAAAATGATTAGTATTTATAGTTTTTTTTTTGCCAATAATGTAAAACTTTTATGTAGCGCTTTTTTATTTTGTTTAATGATTAGTTACTGTATGTCGATGCGGTTTACCGCATTAAATATTGATTGGCTATATTAGAAACACTATATCGATCTAACAAATACCCTAATTTTCTAGCGATAGTGATACAATAATAATCGCTATTACAGTATTACCGCTACTGCAGTATAAGATCAGTGCAACAATACCATATTGCATTTATTGTTGTATTGGACAATTAAATATGCTTGGTTTTAGTATAATTTAGTGTTAGTATCGGTATGTGGTTTCTCAATCTTAATCGAACAGGTTTATCCAGAGACCCGACCCCGTCTGATTAGCATGTACGTACGTACGTACATATACATGATGCAGAGTATATAACGATAAATAAATTCATATATATATATATATATATTTGCTTTAATTAGAGTCTTTAAATTTATATATCGATATTTGAACATTCGCAAAATTGTAAAAACTAGGCCTAACTCGACTTGATTTTGGACTTACTTGACCCAATTACATATTATATATGTAAAAATAGGTTCTCAGCCCTGTGAATAAATAATAATTCGTGGCGACAAAATTAACCAGATGTTTGGGGCTGGTTATGTTAAACACTACTTGGCTTCAAGTCTTTAACTTGGCAGTCTAGTTTTTTTAATCCATTTAAGGATTAATTTATTCACATGAGATCAATGTTGTATGAACGTATGTTTTTTTTTTGATTTCTAAAGTTTTTCTGGCATGTTCCATTCAATGTCTTGGCCAAATTCCTATAATTGATAATTGTATTGGGGAGAGTCAATAGAAACCAAGCATAGTGTTAAACAAAAATTCATTTAAAAAAAAAAATTTGACTTTTTTTTAATTAATTCCGAGTTACAGTAAAGTTTTTACCAGATTTGGTTTTTTAAATTTCAGAATTTTAAAAAAAAATTCACTAAAAAAAATCACTATTGACGCATCTTCATGTAAGTATATATATAAATCGGTATATATTATTTTTACTTGTGTACTTAGACAATTATGAGTCTACTAAAATGTTGAACTAGACTTATATTCATGAAACAGTATGTTAAAAATGCAGCATGTCACTGTTCTAGCAATAGGAAATGCATAGCTTAATAGTTTATCCATTTTTATTATTTCTCTTTTATTAATGAAATAATGTATGAAATAGTACATGAAATATATAGTATAAAATAGTATATAGTCCGAAGCGATGATCGTTCATGCAATGTTTGTCAGCAACTACCAATAAAAAAACGAGAAATGAAGATTCCCGTGATGATCTGTACATGTCGCTTCGGACTTATGCGTATGTGCTTTTTTCTTAAAAATAATAAAACGTAATATGCATAAAAAACAGTTAACCAAATAATTGTAAACAAGTGGTTAAACCCTGAAGGTTGATAAGAAAGGTATAAAGTACATACATACTTTTTGGACTGTTTCATATATGACGGTAAAGAATTTATAAAAAAGAAATTATTAGTGGCTTAAAATTAGTTGCATTTATTTGGAGGTGTCATTGTCAGCAGCAAGAAAGGCTTTGCAAAAGAACAAGAAAAGCATTTGCATTAGAGTTAAAATGATTGTTAATCTAAAAAAGGTACTACAATAGCTCTCTTTTGATAAATAATAATTTGAATAGATTTTGTGTAATATAACTGAATCCATTAAAATACCATTTTAGTATCACCACGTTTTGTAGTAGAATCACAAATTAATATCTTACATGTGGTGGTTCTGTATAAATACTAACGCTAAAACGTAAAAGAAAAAAAATGGATTAAATAGATCAATAAGCATTCGACAACCATTTTTTTAAGTGATTTATTTATATTTGTGCAGGTGATCTTCATAAACGTTTATATATAGGCATAAACATTACAATTTTACAATTTTCTTCCTTTCTAGTAACAGCCCCCAACATTGATATTGTGCATCCAAACGTCGGAGTTAACAAACTAAATAATATATTTATCAAAAAATGTGTTCTTTAACACCGTCTGCATATTTCGCATGTTATACTGTTGAAAAAACTATTCAAGAATTAGATAGTGACTTAGAAAATGGACTTAATCCAAGTCAGGCGGTTGAGAAGAGGAAGACAAGTGGTTATAATGAATTCGAAGTTGAGGAAGGCGACCATCCAGTCATTAAATTCTTTAAACAATTTCTGGAGAATCCACTCATCCTTTTACTTCTTTGTTCTGCCGTTGTTTCACTAATAATGGGAAATCGAAAAGATGCATTTTCGGTCTTTCTGGTTTGTATCAGTTTCATGTGTTTAATTTGATCTGATTTATTTTTTTTTAATCTTAATGATTCTGTTTCAATTTGATTAATTCGATTAATTCAATTAATTAAATTAGGCAGTTACAATAGTCACAGCAGGTAAATTTGTTTAAATTTCGATTTTTATCTTTATATTTTCTTTTAACCTTGATTGATCTTTACAATAAATAGTCGGGTTTGTTCAGGAATATCGATCAGAAAAATCTCTTGAGGCACTAAATAAATTAGTACCTCATCACTGTCATTTAACCCGGTAAACATTTGAATGAAAATTTTTTTTCGCAATATATATATATATATATTGATAGAATTGATGTTAATACTATTTCTTTTTTAATAGAGATGGTCATTTAGCAACTGTTTCAGCTGCTGAATTGGTACCAGGAGACTTGGTCCGTTTTGGTGTTGGTGACAGAGTTCCTGCTGATGTTAGATTAATAACGGTTGGCATTTTATTTTACCATTTTTCTAAAAAAAAGTTTATTGAAATTATTGAAATTCTGGCTAAATTGAATCTTTTTAAGCCAGGCGGTAAATCTGGAAATTGATGAATCTAATTTGACTGGTGAGACTAAACCTAGAAAGAAGACTATTGATGTAATTATTTCAGAAAGTAGTTATGTAGAATCAATTCAAGAAAGAAAAAATATTGCATTTATGGGGACTCTTGTTAGGAATGGTAATTTTTTTTGGTTTTATTTAAATAAAGTTTCATTTTTTAAGTTTATACTTAGATTTGCTTTTTTTTTCAGGTCATGGATCTGGTGTTGTTGTTGGAACTGGAAATAACACTGAGTATGGTGTTGTATTTTCTCTAGTAAAAGAGGTAAGGAATTTTGTTATTTTATGATTAAATTATAAAACATGTAATTTATTGATATAATACTCTTGTTATAGGCGGAAACACCAAAAACTCCATTTCAAATTAGCATGAATGATCTTGGAAAAAAATTATCCTATTTGTCTGGTGCCATTATTGCAGTTATAGTTACTATTGGACTTATACAAGGGAGACAATGGCTGGAGATGTTTACAATTGGAGGTTATTAAAATTCTTTTATTAATAAATATAATTCAATTTTCGTTAGTTATTCATTTTATATATATATATATATTTAATTTTCAAATATAGTCAGTTTGGCTGTTGCAGCTATTCCTGAAGGACTTCCAATTGTTGTAGCTGTAACTTTAGGTTTGGGTGTTTTACGAATGGCTAGAAAAAATGCAATTATAAAAAAGCTACCTTCTGTCGAAACTTTGGGTTCTGTAAATGTTGTTTGCGTAGATAAAACTGGTAAGTGGTGTATTATGATCAATTCTCTTTTTATAGAATTTATTTTTTAATTTATAATTAATAAAAAAAATTTTTTTTTTTTTTGCGATTATTTAGGTACATTGACTGAAAATGTTATGACTGTCACAAAGATATTTACATTAGATGAAGAAACTATTTTCGATTTGGAACATGGTTTGCCTCCTAAAACAACTGTTGCAATGCGAGAAGTTCTCAAAATTGGTTGGTAACATTCATTATAAATATTGGTCTTGTCAATTTTTTGCAATTTGTATCAAATTAATTCTGATTATTTTTATATAGGAGGACTTTGTAACAATGCAAAGATTGATGATGAAGGAAAAAAATTTGGGCAGGCTACTGATGTTGCATTACTTGATTGTCTTATAAAAATGAATCTGGAAGATGAAATCATGGTAATATTATTATCTTATTATCACATCTGATATTCACATCTGATATTCACATCTGATATTCGCATCTGATATTCATATCTGATATTCACATCTTATATTCGCATCTGATATTGTTTATAATGTCATAAATCCTTATTATTATTATTATTATTATTATTATTATCAACATACATAATATAGGGATACGATCGAGTTTCAGAAATTCCATTTAATTCTGAACAAAAGTGGATGTCTGTAATTTGTCGAAAAAAAAATGATAATTCATCGTCAGAGATTATGTATTTAAAAGGTTCAATAGAAGTTGTATTAGGAAAATGTGCATCATATTATGTTTCAGAAACACATAAACCACCATTGGACGTTCCAGCGAAAGAGTCGGTGATGCGACATGTTACTGCAATGTCTTCTCTTGGTCTTCGAGTCCTTGCTATGGCATCTGGGTCTGATCACAACAAACTTACTTTTGTAGGATGTGTTGCAATGTATGATCCTCCAAGAAAAGGTTAATATAATTAGATAATATTCATTATTATATGTTTATTATATATTATTATTATATATTATTGTACATTATTATATATTGCGTATATAATTTATATGGTTTTTAAATAATGTGTATATAGGAGTTGAGAAGGCTATAAAGCAGTTAATTGGTGGTGGTGTCAAAGTAGTCATGATAACAGGAGATTCCGGTAATTAACCACTTTTTAGATGATCTCTTTTCTAACTTTGTTTTTTTTTTCTTTTATTTACATAGCAGCATTATTTTATATTAGATCAAACAGCCCTTTCAATTGCACGAAAGCTAGGCATACCGGTAAATCCAGCAAATCATTCTAATTGTCTAACTGGTGCAGATATTGAAGCTATGTCAAGTGAAGATTTAAAGGCGGTTATTGGCTCAATAACTGTTTTTGCAAGAACTGCACCCAAACATAAAATGGCTATAATACAAGCCTTTCAATCAAATGGTTCAATTGTAGCAATGACAGGAGACGGTGGTAGGCTATTATTTTGACACTTGGAATATGTATACTTGAAATACTTGAAAAATTTAACCTATATATTATATTTATTTCTCTTAAAGTAAATGATGCACCTGCATTGAAAATTGCCGATATTGGTATATCTATGGGTAAAAGTGGATCTGATGTCTCCCGAGAAGCAGCCGATATTATTTTAGTTAATGATGAATTTGTAACTATATTGGATGCTGTAAAAGAAGGTATTAAAGAATTATTTGTTTATTTTAAATGTATTTTCAAGATGGTTTTGTTTAATTATTACAATAAATTAATAAATTAACAATATGAAATTTTAAACAGGAAAATCTATATTTTATAATATCAGAAACTTTTTAACCTTTCAATTAAGTACAAGTATAGCGGCATTAACGTTGATTACTATGTCTACTGTATCTGGATTACCAAATCCTTTAAATGCAATGCAAATTTTATGGATAAGTAAGAAACATTCAGATAAATTTATTAATCAAACTTTATCTTAATAAATAAATTTTAATAAATATAATAAATCTAATAATAAATTTTAATAGATATATTAATGGATGGTCCCCCTGCACAATCTCTCGGTGTCGAACCAGTAGATGAAAGTGTAATGAGACAACCTCCACGAAAGAAGAATGCACCAATACTTACACCAGCACTTATAATGCGTGTACTCACTTGCTCTGCGATTATCGTTGCTGGTACCTTATTTACCTATATTACTGAAATGCGGGACGGTATTGTTACAGCAAGAGACACAACAATGGTACGATATTTCAAAGTTTTATTCTGTATTTATAATGTTGAGTTTTTATTTCCATTTTCATTGATTAATGTTTTAATAACTGTTTTTTATCTAGACATTCACGTGCTTTGTATTCTTTGATATGTTTAATGCTTTAAGTTGTCGTTCAGAAAAGAAATCTATTTTTAAATTAGGAATATTTTCGAATAAAATGTTTAATTTAGCAGTAGCATTTTCACTTCTTGGACAATTATTAGTAATTTATTTACCATTTTTCCAAGCTGTTTTTCAAACTGAACCATTAGGACTTGATGATATTTTTGGACTTTTGGTTATAACATCATCAGTATTTTGGATTGATGAATTTCGTAAGCATTATCATAATCAAAAGCCAGACGAAGAATATGGGACGGTTATGGCTATGGAGATGGTATAATATTTTCTATAGGAATTATTATTTAAATAAAGCTTGGACGTGGCATAGGATATTTTTTTCTTTTTTTTTTTTTTTGTTTTTGTAATATACATATACCGGTATATATATATATAGGGAAAATGTTTTTTATTAATAGACTTGTTTTTTGGGAATATATAGATTAGTTTATAGACGAATGATTATAATTCATTTATGCACACAAAATAATTGTAATTAGTTTTCTCATTGATAATAAGTATGAATTTAGTTAGATATCGATATTGTTATGAGGAAATAATTATTAGTTAGTTTTTTTTTTTATCCATAAGAGTATATATGCTTTAAAGATTACTTGTGTAATTACATACATATAGCAATTCCTTAATAAAAAAGAAAACAATTTGTTTTTAAATAGATTTTGTATTCATTTAATTTGCAACAGTTTCTGGTACTGTACGTACGTAGTTACGTCCTTGCGTATGATTTCCGAAAAAAGGCAATGCAATAACGTTGGAGTTCTATGTAAAGTAGTATAATCAGGTTAATAAATTTAGTAACGTAAAATAATAAGCGTTTATTATATTCACGCGTATAATAGTTGATCAGACACTTTATACTAACGCTAACACTTGAACTATTCATATAAATCTATACCCTAATCATAAATTCTAACACGCTAACATGAAGTATAACTTAACTATCTGTAGATATTAATCTATAATATATTATTATATGTAAATGTATGTCATACGTTTGTCTTTTTTTAAATCCTACATAACTTATTTTGTATTTTTGACTATACAACTATATGCAACACCGATAATGTTGTACACGAAAAAGTTGGTTTTTCACTACGCTTCGAATAATTAAGATTACTAAAATTGCTTCAACTTACGTATCAGATCACATGGGCACTTATATATAAAAAAGTTCGCGTTTGACAACAAATTGTTCCTGCTGTAATATTCTGCGAGAAACATTTTTTATTATAATTTCGTATATGAATTTTGAGATATATGCGATTTTTCGAAAATAAAATGTTATTAAATTTTCGCGTTATACGTGATTTGTCCAATTACATCATAATGCATAAATCGTATTTTTATAAATCACCAACCTAAATGAAACCCTAAACCGGACACGGCTTTAGTCATCACCAGTGTATACTTACCGGACAAACTCTTGAGATTTGGGTTTTGTCCATGGACAAACCTGGACAAATGGGATTTATCCAGTCATATCAAAACTCCCATGTTGTAAAACTGGACAAATCCCAATTCCAAATCCCAAGTCGCCAGATCCCAAACACTATCCCAAGTCGCCAAATCCCAAACACTATCCCAAGTCGCCAAATCCCAAACACTATCCCAAATCCCAAGTTCTATTCCAAGTCCCAAATCCCCAATCCTATATATTATTATTATCATTATTCTGGTAATGATATAAGAACATATATGTAGATACTATCTGTATATGTATATATCTTATATGATAATTATATCTTGCTTATAACGTAATTTCACACTAGATGTGTTCAGATGTGCGATTTTAGATTTTTGATTGTTTAAACAATAAAAAATTTCTGAAATCGCGTAAGTCTAAATACTCTATTTTATATAATTTGTGCAAAATAAATATCATAATGTTCTAAAATGAAATTTTAGATAACTTGTGCGATATAACTCTACACCAGATTTTTATCTTGCTCAAGGTACATCTTTAGTACCATTTTTATTTTATATAATAGCCTTTACTTCATCTTACATACTTGAGAGTTCCATTATAGTTAAAATTTGAATTGAGATTTTAGATTCAAAAATTTAGAATTTGGTATCTGGGATGTGTAGGATTTAGAACATGGGATTTGGAATTTGGAACATGGAATAAGATTTGGTATCTGTGATTTGGGATAGGGCTTGGGATTTGGTCAGAGTTTAAAATTATAACAGCCCAAATAAAGTTATTCCACATGGGATTTGGGTTTGGGTAGGATTTTAAAGATTTGTAGTTTGGACGGTATGTATTGTTACGCAAAGAAAGTTTCACACTTAAACTTTCTTTGTGTAACTCTTAAACTATTATAGACTCTGCTTATACTTTC